TCACTGAAGATAGCAAAAAGATAACAAACACCGACGTTCACTACCGATGTACTACCAATGTTCACTGAAGGTATAAAGAGAAAATATATCATACCATCGCCGTTCACTGAAGATGAACTATCAACTTTCACTAAAGATAGCAAAAAGATAAGAAACACCGACGTTCACTGACGATGAACTATCAATGTTCACTGATGATAGCAAAAAGATAACAAACACCGACGTTCACTGCCGATGTACTACCAACGGTCACTGCCGATGTACTACCAACGTTCACTGAAGGTTGACAGAAAATATCATACCACCGCCGTTCACTGACGATGAACTATCAACATTCACTGAAGATAGCAAAAAGATTAGAAACGAAACATCGACGTTCACTACTGATGTACTACCAACGTTCACTGAAGGTAGAGAAAAAATATCATACCACTGCCGTTCACTAACGATGAACTATCAACATTCACTAAAGATAGCAAAAAGATAACAAACACCGACGTTCACTGCCGATGTACTACCAACGTTCACTGAAGGTAGAGCGAAAATATCATACCACCGTCGTTCACTGATGATGAACTATCAACGTTCACTGAAGATAGCAAAAACATAACAAACACCAACGTTCACTGCTGATGTACTACCAACGTTCACTGAAGGTAGAGAGAAAATATATCATACCATCGTTGTTCATTGACGATGAACTATCAGCATTCACTGAAGATAGCAAAAAGATAACAAACACTGACGTTCACTGCCGATGTACTACCAACGTTCACTGAAGGTAGAGAGAAAATATATCATACCATCGTTGTTCACTGACGATGAACTATCAACGTTCACTGAAGATAGGAAAAAGATAACAAACACCGACGTTCATTGTCGATGTACTACCAACATTCACTGAAGGTAGAAAGAGAAAATATATCATACCATCGCCGTTCACTGATGACGAACTATCAACGTTCACTGAAGATAACAAAAATATAACAAACACCGACGTTCACTGCCGATGTACTACCAACATTCACTGAAGGTAGAAAGAGAAAATATATCATACCATCACCGTTCACTGACGGTGAACTATCAACGTTCAATGAAGATAGCAAAAAGATAAGAAACGCCAACGTTCACTGCCGATGTACTAACAACGTTCACTGAAGGTTGAAAGAAAATATTAAGTTTTCCCCAAAATTCTGGTGTTTCACCTAGAACGGGTTTCAACTTCTTCTTTAACCAAGGCACTCTGCATGGAAAGGGTAATATGTAAGCTTATCTCAAATAAAGAGACTTCCACTTATTGTCAAGGGGAATTGCAAAGAGAAATGACTTTATGGGGATAGAAATATGGCTTCCCGGGGAAAGAGATATGACTTCCTGGGGAAAGAGATATGACTTCCTGGGGAAAGAGATAAAGTCTTCTCGTGCAAAATAAATGCACAAACCAAAACTCAAAGTTCTCAGAAATCCAAAGTAAATAATATCGTCATGCAACCACGAATCCAATTAGAAACAAACTGGAGCAAGACGGCCAACGAAGATACATCCTTTGAGAAATAAACTCAAGAGGGAAAACTAAATCCACCTAAGCAAGGAGCGCTGCAGGAAGGTTAGAACATAATGTCAATAAAAAATGATTTGTAGCAATGCATGATGCATGTATGAATGTATGAGTGATATCGTGCATATGCTGGTAAAAGGTTACATAATCAGTATAAACAAACAAAACCGCCTCAGTTTCCAACAACATTGGGCTAAACTTCAACCAGAAAGATCAATCCAAGAAAGGTAAAAGAAATTGTGGAAACCAAACCTATTGCCTGTCCTAACTTCACTGAGGAGAAACATAATCCGGATGTAGCTAAATCAAACAGATACCGGGATAGAACATCTTTCTTCAGGTTTCATCGGAGAAACTAGTTTTTCAAAAGCAACATACCTACTGGAGATTGCAAGACCAGCCTTAAATAAAGCAGACTGACGCCGAGACAATCAAACCTCACTGGGGAATTCAAGCCTACCCCCAGGGGAAAGATGCAGATTGAAACTTTACATCATGAAAACCTATTCCAACAAAAGATGCCCTGGGATAGCCTTCCCGGGAAATCAAGAAGTCAACACTAATGCCAATACTGCAAAAAGAGCGATATCTTAGCACACCAAGGGAATAAAACCTTTCATCATATGAGGGAAAACTTTGTTGGGGAATCTGGGACGGAGGCTTCTGACCATATAAACCCAAAATCAAAAGCGAACCAAGACTTGGTCGGGGATAATGGGATCACAAACCTAATAATGTACCTTGCACCCACTGGTATCGTCTTTAACTATCTGAGAAATACACAAAGATTGCGCACATACCAAAAAGATGACCTTAGAAAAACCTTCATGAAGGAAGTAAATCTTCTTAAAACAACCGGAGTTTTTTCATTCCTGGGATCGCCATTTTTGTTGTCATTGTTTAATCACAAATCCCAAAGTAAATTTAATTGTGAAGATCTCCCTTTTTTTTGAAAAGTCAATTTTGCTTTTTAATCTTTTTGCTTTAAAAATTATTATCAGTAATAAATGGAGTCTTTGCAAGCTAAATAAATATAAGAACACAAAGAATTGGGCAAAAGCTCGAATTTCATTAATAGAATGGTAGTCTACGAATGGCGAGACTCCATGGATGATTACAAAGTTTAGGAAATGGTAATATATAATGGAAAAGATACATTGAGATACAATGACCACCATTTCCCCTAACAACTTTTGAAATCCTGAGCAGCAACTTTTGTTGAAGTATGGTGATGATCCGAGAAGATTGTTGCTTCAACGATCAAGTCTTGTCTGACGTAGTTACTTGCCAAGAAAAATCCCTAACTTTTGCCTAAGCTGCCCTCGCGGGTTTTTAACTTATCGGGAAATGTATTCTGTTTATGTCTCTAATTTTTTCCTAGACCGCCCTTTCGGGTTTTCAGCCTACCGAGACGCTCCTTTTTGCCTATGCCGCCCTTTCGGGTTTTCAACTTAGTGAGTTGTTCTTTTATTTCTTTAGGAAAAGTATTTCTTGACTGCGTCAGCATTCATGGGACGTGGGAACTCCTCGCCATCCATAGTTTCAAGAATTAATGCACCACCAGAGAAGGCTTTCTTGACAACATACGGGCCTTCAAAATTGGGAGTCCACTTTCCCCTAGAATCAGTGTTAAAATACATGATCTTCCTGAGCACGAGGTCGCCTTCTCTGAATTCGCGAGGTTTGACCTTTTTATCAAATGCTTTCTTCATTCTTTTTTGATATAACTGCCCATGACACAAAGTTGTCATTCTCTTCTCTTCAATCAAATTCAATTGGTCAAACCTGTTCTGGACCCATTCAGCCTCTGTCAACTTGGCTTCCATTATCACACTCAACGAGGGAATCTCTACCTCAACATGGAGTACAACCACTACAAGAAAATTAGTGTTTAACGACACAAAAATTGCGACAGTTATGTGATAACTGTCGTAATTGACATATAGAGACAATGTTTACGACAGTTGACACCAACCGTCCCTAATATTTATTTTGCGATGGTATAATTAACCATCATAATATTATTATTACGACGGTAAAACAACCGTCGGCCCCCATTTAACACTTTTAACATTGATTTTTCACCAACAACTAGTCACGACGGTAAAATTAACCGTCCTAAAAGGCATATCACGACGGTAAAGCACCCGTCGCACCCTTAAACCTTTCACAACGGTAAAATTATCCGTCCTAAAATTCATTTCACGATGGTAAAACAACCGTCGCACCCAAAACCTTTAAAAATTCTCATGGGCACGATGGTAAAACACCTGTCGCCGTAAAAAAGTTAAAAAGCTCTTAAAATACATAAAATTTTTGAATAGTTAAAATTCTATCATTTTTTTCTTCTAAAATTTGGCCTTTTCCTATCAATATATTATACACAGCCTAGATGCAAAAATATATACTATATGTTTATTGACAAGTTGCAATGTATAATGATTATTTTGAATAGTTAAATAGCAATACTGAAACCTGACTGGAATTTGATGCATATGAATAATATATGTCAAAAAGTTATACTACTTAATTTATGCAATAATGAGAAAAAATAACAGTCTTGTGCTTCTCTGTTAGATTTAGATTATAGAAATTTTATTCTTTCTTTTAGCTGATTCTAAACTGCTTTATTACTTCTTAAATATCCTAATCCTAAACTTGTCTTCTACACAGTGGCGGAGCCAGCGTCCGTCCATCCATACTTCACCATCCGACACCACCACCAATTCAAGATTCGACAACCAATCACCCCAAAACCAACTCCCAGAAGCAGAAGAAAGAGGTCAATTCCAAGTTACAGCACCTACGAACACCAGAAGAGAAGCTAGCTTAAATCGAAACCCTAGAAAAGGAGCTCGGGGGTTTGTTTGAGTACTACAAAGGGGTTTTGGGTAAGAAGGTTATTGTTGACCTTAAGAAATGCGGTGGGTCGAGAAACACGGTTCACAACATTGAGCCAATTGCATTGGTAGGTAAATTTTTTAAAAAATAATTTTCAATTCCATTATTAATTTATTTTACCTTTTTATCCCTCTAGATAGATCTGGTGTTCATGAAATTCATCTATAATTGGCTTTGTTTTTTTTGTTTGAGAGGTGTTTAGGTTAGGCTTGTTGTGATTATTATGAACACACAAATTGTTTGGGAAATTAACCAAGTGATTGACAATTTCTTTGTTTGCTGTGAAATTGAATTCAAGGAGATGCTTTTACACAATTTAGTCATTATTGTTGTTGTTGTTCAGTTGTTGTTTTGATCCTTTTTCAGGATTTTAATTGAAATCTAATGTAAATTATGTAAATTGTTAGAAAAAAAAGCCATTTATAGAAACTCACATTCTTCTTTCTTATGAAAATGTGGTTCAAATAAGCTGAATACTTTGTGTGGTAAGGATGAAATATGTAATTACTGAAACAAACTCTTGCTTGTTTATTAACTTAGGATGAATTGTAGCATTAAAGCTCTTAGAGTAGTTATTGATAGGAAATTTTGTTTCATTACAGCTGAGGCTGTGGCAGGATCAACAGCATGGCTTGGTAGAAGTCTGTCTTGTGTATGTGTACAGAGAAGAGATAGTGATGCTTCTAGCTTTTTTTATTTAACTCTAGCCCAGGTACTATTTCTATAATTACAGAAGCTTCTTTTGATTTCTGTTAACTTTTATGCCTTATTCATCTTCAAGCAAAAACTAAAAGAAATCAATATTTTTAGAGAATGTGGTATGGAGTGAGAATGCTTCAATTTTTTTTAAAACAATACATCTTTTAAACTGGTTATAAGGAACATTTTGCGATCTTTAAATAACAAAAGTAACTTTCTTGAATTGATAATCTTTGAATTGATCTTACCAAATAACGAAAGTAACTTGCTATTGTATTTCTGGTTATGTGCTCCTTTTCCTGTTTGTCCTCCAAATCGTGTATGTTGTTTGGATGATGCAAGAAAATATTGTTATTGGATATAATTTTGACTACCAGTTGCTAATCAGCTGTATGTTTACGTTGCCGATATACTTGTACTCCCTGTATACCATATGAAATTTGGGAGCATTTTCTACTTACATTTTCTGTTATATATTTATGTTTCTAATTTAGTCACAACAAATTACCATAATGTTGAAATTTCAATCCTTAGGAGGAATGCTTGCAGAGGCTACAGAGACGAATACATGTTCCATATGATAGTTCTATAATTGAGCACCAGGTATCATTTCTATCACTACTATTTTTCAGTCTATGTGTAAGCAATGTAGCAACAGTTATTGATGTAAATATATTTTGTAATCCTAAATAGCCGTATTTTAACTTCGTGGCTTGATATCTGAGCAGTGGAAGGAAATGGGCTGACAAGGGAAGGATCCATCAACAGATTTTAGGTAGATATTGTCCTTATTTTTTTCATTACCAGGTCTTGTGTTATTGTTAATTAGTTGTTGCTAATGATTTTTTATTTATATGTGTTTGTTAGGGGTGGTGGTTTTATTTCTTTGGAGAATTTTCTCTTCTTTGCTAGGAATTTCCCGGTATGAATTAAATTTTTGGTTTGTTCACTCTAATTTGAATATGTTACTCATAAATCACAGAGGTTGTTACCACCCATGTATTTGTTAGTGGTGGTGGTTTTATTTCTTTAGAGAACATATATGTTGTTTTTTGCCTTTGTATCATGATATTTTCACTTCTGTAACAAGTAGTACTACTATTTTGTAGCAAATGCTATGATGATTATTGATACAGAGTGTCTGCCAAAGTTGAAATCTAAGATAAATCTAGTAAGACTTTCTGATTATAATATTTTATTGGCAAATGTTAGAATCTAACTAATGGATCAAGTGAAATTATAAACCTTATGATTAGAATCTGTCCAAGGTTTCTCATATTAGCATTGCATGGTTTGTTTGAATCTCTTGACGAAAGATAACTGAGCTGGCTTTGTGTTCATTTCAATAGGCTAGATCAGAACATGAATGCATGATGAATCATCTACCCCTTATCTTCCAAAGAGCTAAGTTAAAGTTAAATTTTGATGCAGGATATTGTGATTTTTGTGTGGTGCAGGATATTGATAAGAAGGATGTTTCTCTTAGCAAATTCAAGGGGGAGGTTCTCTTGATTGTCAATGTTGCTTCACGATGGTATGATTTATTCACTTTATGTTTGTGTGAAAGCCTTATTTTTTTCAGTTGTAATGTTATGTTTAGGGGAAATTGCACTCACTTTCCCTTTAGGTTATGGTTGGATCGATGAATTAGAAAGGAGCGGAGCAGAATAGAATATTATGGAATGGAGTGGAGTGGAGCAATGGAATGAACTAAATTGTTTTGTTCCGTTCCGTCAACTTATAAAAAATACACAACTATCCATTATTTGCAAATCCAAACAAGGGAATCTGATTATATACCACTCCATTTTATTTCATTCAATCACATCCCACCAATCCAAACATAAAATATTAGGTATGCTTAAGCAGATAGTTCTCCATTGTAGTACATAGTATTAGGGTTTTAGAAGTTTCCGCAATGTATTGCAACCGCATGGGTTGCAAGCATTTATTCACGCATCCGCAATTTAGAATTATTACAAATATTGAGGGGGGCATTATTCAAGCCGAACTGATAGGATGGATTCGGTGTTATTCATTTAACAAATTAGGTGGTGAGTCTTCATTTAAAAATAAATAGTGTGTTCTATATAAGCGTATCTCCGAAGTGATTAGTCAATTTCTGCTAATCAAGTTCTATTTGAGAAGGTTCAAATCAAATACCTTGAAAGTTATGTCAAAGTTTCTGGTATGTTATGATCCTCCTATTGAATGATTTCCTTTGAATGAACGGCAGTGGCTTGACATCATCAAATTACACAGAACTCCCGCACTTGTATGAAAATTTTAAAGATAGAGGTATGTTACTTATGGAGCATAGTTATTTGTTTATTTTTCCTATATTTTTTATATGATTATTGGTGACTAGATATTTTGACAGTGTAGCTTCATTTTGAATATATCTACTTCTGAAATCATTTTGTTTTGAGTTGGATCATGTTTAAGATTAGGAGAGTAGTATGTCTATTCTTCCCTGTTTTGAGTTGGATCATGTTTAAGATTAGGAGAGTAGTATGTCCATTCTTCCTTGTTTTGAGTTGGATTATGTTTAAGATTAGGAGAGTAGTATGTATATTCTTCCTAGTTCATATTGAAGTTCAGGCACAGGTAACTTATTGGGATTTTTAGATGTGGATACTGATGTTTGATTGAGTGAAGCTAACCAAATGGGATATGTTGATGTACTTACTTTAAAAACCATATCTCTATTCCAAGTATTTCTCTATCGGCCAAACATAGCTCTATATGGAAACCTATTTGTTATGGTCTTAAATGCATGTCCATTTCAACCAATGAGGGTTGAGTCCAGCAGAAAAGGCTAGTCCATCCCACTTGTAGAAAAATACATTTTGAATCTTTGCTAGAAGAGACAGTCACATTTAGTATCCAATAGTGTCTCGAACAGGATTGACTTCCGTATGAGGATACCCGTGGGGAACTTAATACATGTCTGTTTCCTTGTGTAATGCTTTATCCAATTTATACAGGCAACATATCTTGTTTTATTTCCATATTTTAAAGGATTCTACCATTTGGAATTGATACTAACTTGTCTGACATTATAGTACTGTGATTCTCATTCCACGGCTCCCGTTTTGGAATTTAAATGTGTCGTGTGCTTGTTGGGGAGATGGAAAACAGAAAATGCAGCTGAGGGAGTTTTTAAAAGAAAAACAGTTTCCCCCCTAAAAGTAGCTGAAAAAAGTGTGGATTGTTTCATTTTGATTACAATTACGATTTTGGGGTGTGCAAGAATGTGCAATAGGATGGAATAGCTATTATAGCAATCCAAATTTCGTTCTAAGTTGGTAATTAATGCAAGCAGCGTGTCAAGGTCATTATTATGGAACATGAAAGTGAGCTTTGGGCCTTAGATACTTTTCGTTGTAGGAAAATTTAAAATATTCCAAAGGATTTTCTACTTTGTTGTTTCTCTCTGAACAGCTCTCAGATTTTTAGTTCTAAAGTAATGTTTTTATCAGCCTCACATTTTTAGTGTCCTTATGCATTTTCTTTCCAGGTTTGGAGGTTCTAGCTTTCCCTTGCAATCAATTTGGCATGCAGGAGCCTGGATCAAATGAAGAAATTAAGCAATTTGCTTGCACTAAGTTCAAAGCAGAATTTCCAATTTTTGATAAGGTTTGATACAATGTTTCTATATCCAGTATTTCAAAACAGATTACATGCGAGTAAGAGACAAGGTAATGAAGTTTTGTAAAACAGGTTGATGTAAATGGACCATTTACTGCTCCAGTATACCAGTTTCTGAAATCAAGTTCCGGGGGCTTTTTTGGTGATCTTGTCAAGTGGAATCTTAATTAAAATAGGAGAGAATCTTAATTTAGCAACTCGGTATGCTATGATATTACTGTATCTGTGATTTCAATAAGACAGGTATATTATTTTGACGCATTTAAAGTTAAATTTTATGAGTATTATTTTAAAGATTATTATTTTAATACCTTTTTTTAGGGATTGGAATCACCCGCTGATGGTAGACGTTCATCTGAGTCTAGCTACCGTATTGGAGATAATGGAACTTCAGGGGGGACAAATTAGACTTTGATATGATCGAGATAATTAGATTGTGAACTTTCTCATGTATTTTTGGCATAATGATACTTATTATTATAAGATTAGGAATTGATATATTTTGGGTTTTTTGTACTACTTGACATGATTATGGAACTCGCATTTTACATGATTATGGAACACACATTTTTTTGGATATTATAATGCTTATTTGATGTTAAATATTTTTTATTGAAATTATTTTTACTATATTACAAAGTGATAGAAAATAAAACAAAAAATAATACTATAAATAAATATATTAAAGAAGAAATAATTTAAAGAAAAAAATAACACAAAAAAAAAACTATATTTAAAAATTTTTACATAGATAATAATTTAAATAAAAAATATATATAATAGAAAAATAAAAAAAAATCAAGACATAAACAAAAGTCATGACGACAGTACCGAACCGTCGTAATCAACAATTAAAAATAATCAACAAAAGTCATGACGGTATCGAACCGTCGCCATAAACAATTTAATCAATTTCAAAAGATATTCACGACAGTATCGAACCGTCGCCATCAATAATTAAAAGAAACTCAAAAGATAGTCACGACGGTATCAAACAGTCACCAATACTTGATTATGTCAGCTCCAAACCCGTTGTAAACTTGAACGACAGTTTTTGTAACCGTCGCGAAATAGGTTGGGGACACACACTTCTGCGACGGTAAAGCAACCGTCGTGGAAAGCAAATTGCGACGGTTTTAACCGTCGTAATCTACAAAAATACCTGTCGCAATCTGCCAATTTTCTTGTAGTGAACTTCCATTCCATATACCAGGGAGAATGGGGTTGCTCCTGTTGAAGTGCGGACAGATGTTCGATATCCATGCAGAGAAAAAGGGAGCATTTCATGCCAATCCTTATAAGTAACAACCATTTTCTGGATAATTCTCTTGATATTCTTATTAGCAGCTTCAACAGCCTCATTCATCTTTGGCCTATATGGAGACGAATTGTGATGGACAATCTTGAATTCTTCACACAGTTCTGTCATCATCTTTTTGTTCAAATTCGAGCCATTGTCAGTGATGATTCTACTCGGCACACAATACTGGAATATAAGATTGTTTTTGATGAAACGCACAACCACTTGTTTTGTAACATTGGCATAAGAAGCAGCCTCTACCCATTTGGTAAAGTAGTCAATTGCTACCAAGATAAAACGGTGTCCATTTGAAGCTTTGGGTTCTATCATCCCGATCATGTCAATACCCCACATAGAGAAAGGCCATGGGGAGGAAATCACATTGAGAAGTGTCGGAGGCACATGGACCTTGTCTGCATAAATTTGGCATTTATGGCACTTCTTTGAAAATTTGTAACAATCAAATTCCATTGTCAACCAATAGTAACCTGCCCTTAGCATCTTTTTAGCCATCGAATGCCCATTAGCATGAGTTCCAAATGAACCTTCATAAATCTCATGCATCAACATGTCTGCTTCGTGTCTATCCACACATCTGAGCAAGACCATGTCATAATTTCTCTTGTATAACACATTTTCACTTAGGAAGAAACTGCCTGCCAATCTTCTCAGTGTCTTTCTATCTTTCCTCGATGCACCAATCGGGTTTCCTGAGTTTGAAGAAAATGCTGGATGTCATAATACCAAGGTTTTTCATCTGCTACCTCCTCTGTCATAAACACATGAGCGGGCCAATCCAACCGTCGAACTCTAATACGGGGTATATCAATCCAAGTATTCACTTGGTACATGGAAGCCAGAGTTTCTAGAGCATCCGCCATTTGATTTTCATCTCTAGGAATGTGATGGAATTCAACTTTATTGAAGAAGGGTAATAATCTTCTAGCATAATCTTTGCAAGGGATCAAGCCAGGGTGACGAGTATCCCATTCTCCTTTAATCTGATTTATTACCAAAGTTGAATCACCATACACATCTAGAATTTTGATTTTGAGATCAATAGCTTCCTTAAGACCCATGATGCAAGCCTCATATTCAACCATATTATTAGTGAAATCAAATGTTAACCTTGCAGTAAAAGGAATGTGCGATCCATGAGGAGTGATGATCACAGCACCAATTCCTTTACCATAAGCATTCACCGCTCCATCAAATATCATACTCCAACGAGATTCAGGGTCGGGGCCTTCTTCAGGCAATGGTTCATCACAATCTTTCACTTTCAGGAACATCACATCCTCATCAGGGAATTCATATTCTGTAAACTAATGATCTTCCACCGGCTGGTTAGCAAGGTAATCTGCCAACACACTACTTTTGATAGCTTTTTGAGTGCGGTACTCAATATCATATTTAGATAACAACATCTGCCAGCGGGCAATTCTCCTAGTAAGAGCAGGCTTCTCAAAAATATACTTAATTGGATCCATTTTGGAGATCAACCAAGTGGTATGATTCAACATATACTGCCGCAAATGCTTTGCCGCCCAGGCCAAAGCACAACACGTTTTTTCTAGCGTGGAATATCGTGACTCATAATCAGTGAACTTTTTACTGAGATAATAAATGGCGAACTCTTTCTTCCCTGTTTCATCCTGTTGTCCCAGAATACAACCCATGGATTTATCTAACACTGTTAGATACATAATCAACGGTCTTCCTTCTACGGGAGGGAGAAATATAGGAGGTTCACGCAGATACTCTTTAATACTCTCAAATGCCCTTTGGCAGTCATCCGTACTGCCAACTATAAACCAACTTATTAGAAACACAAGACAGCTAATTCGGACTGTAACAAAATCTCCCGCTCTTCGGGGATGCCCTCAACGCCGAGGAACATGTATTAAGGTGTATGTGCGACTCGTTTAGACCATATACTGAAGGAGGAGCCATTTTCATAGTTACGGTGCTCGCTGTTAAAATCAGATCTGCTTGCCTAGGACTAGAGCGTGGTACCAGTCCATAACGATCAAAGTCAAATCGCGATCCTATTAATGAAGCAAATTCAATGAAGCAACAAATAGTACCATAGAGAAGCGGCCATAAACTAGATAATGAGTTCTTGATTATATTAATAACATAGTCTAAAGGATAAAAATATCTACTATAGACCTAATGAATCCATGTGACTCAATAAGGATCATTTTAACAAAGAGATATAGCATCCGTAATAATTCTATATCTCACGTTTAACTCCAGGCACTATAACGAATCCGGGTATTTGGAGTTACGAAGGTGTGGCCGCGGCACATATTGTATTTTCAGGCTTGTGCTTTTTGGCGGATATTTGGCATTGGGTCTATTGGGATCTAGAAATATTTTGTGATGAACGTACTGGAAAACCTTCTTTGGATTTACCAAAAATATTTGGAATTCATTTATTTCTTGCAGGGGTGGCGTGTTTTGGTTTTGGCGCCTTTCATGTAACAGGATTATTTGGTCCTGGAATATGGATATCCGATCCTTATGGACTAACAGGAAGGGTAAAATCTGTAAATCCCGCATGGGGTGTGGACGGTTTTGATCCTTTTGTTCTCGGGGGAATAGCCTCTCATCATATTGCAGCAGGGACATTGGGCATATTAGCGGGTCTTTTCCATCTTAGTGTGCGTCCACCTCAAGGTTTATACAAAGGATTGCGTATGGGAAATATTGAAACTGTCCTTTCCAGTAGTATCGCTGCTGTATTTTTTGCAGCTTTTGTTGTTGCTGGAACTATGTGGTATGGTTCAGCAACTACCCCAATTGAATTATTTGGTCCTACTCGTTATCAATGGGATCAGGGATACTTCCAGCAAGAAATATATCGAAGAGTTAGTGCTGGGCTAGTCAAAAATCAAAGTTTATCAGAAGCTTGGTCTAAAATTCCTGAAAAATTAGCTTTTTATGATTACATCGGTAATAATCCGACAAAAGGGGGTTTGTTTAGAGCGGGCTCAATGGACAATGGAGATGGAATAACGGTTGGTTGGTTAGGGCATCCTATCTTTAGAGACAAAGAGGGGCGTGAACTTTTTGTACGTCGTATGCCTACTTTTTTTGAAACATTTCCGATTGTTTTGGTAGACAGAGACGGAATTGTTAGAGCGGATGTTCCTTTTTGAAGGGCAGAATCGAAGTATAGTGTCGAACAAGTCGGTGTAATTGTTGAATTCTATGGTGGTGAACTCAATGGAGTCAATTATAGTGATCCTGCTACTGTGAAAAAATATGCTCGACGTGCTCAATTGGGTGAAATTTTTGAATTAGATCGTGCTACTTTAAAATCAGATGGTGTTTTTCGTAGCAGTCCAAGGGGTTGGGTCGTTCTTTGATATGTCTCTACTGCTATTCTTGTTACGTGTTACTGGATGACTAATGAATTGAATTCTTTAAAATGAAAGAGGGGATTCTAACAAAAAGGATCTCCGACAACCAAAAAAAGTATATTTCTATATTTCCCATCGAAATGAACTCTAGAAATATTCTTCTTTGCTTCATGAATTATATTATTAGAAACCAATTAATCCTATTCACATTTTCATTGATCCTCAGTTTATAGTCTGAAGCTAATAATGAATGTAAAGAACCCTCAGCTTCTAGTTCTAGTATAAGAAAGTATTCTATATATATAGAAAGCTCTATCTTTGTAATTAAACCAAGAAAGACCCATAGACTTTTTTTTGTGTCAAATACACGAACAACGAATCTTTATTTTGACGAAAAAAGGGATTTGTTGTTCTTGTATTAGTATCCAGTGTCTGCATTCACTGATATAAACACGCATATAAAAAAAACTAAACCCCACCACCATTGCCATTGCGTATTGTTA